AGTAAAGATGATGTACGTGAACAACAAGTCAGTCCCTTCCACAACATATTTCCAAAGCCTTTTTTTGTCTTTGATTGCAAACTACTTCAGGGATCAGTTCTCCAGGGTGCCTCTAACATCCTTAAAATATTTGCATGTCAGAAGACACTAGCACTCCAACATGTGTGAATAAAATAGTATGCATTCCAAAGATAGGCAAGGAATTTTGGTATTTCCAGGTAAAAGTGCTTTGGACCTCCCTTGTGTTCCCCAAGGGAGGAATTGCTTAGGACTCCTAGCCTTGCATAGTCTCTTTGAGTCCCCCTGAAGCCAGCCTAGGCACAACTTGTAGAATGGGACAGTCCCTGGTTCCTTGGACCCTGAGAATGAGAATTTCAATCTCTGGTCCTTGGAGTTAGCTCTGGCCTCTCTCAGAGTGCTACTTTTTTGTCTTTACTGAGACGGAGTGTACCTGATGTTCCATGAAGTGAAGCAGTCAGCTTTTCTTAAACAAAACAACATTAATTGGATAAGAGCAATACAGTAGGCAGAATTCACGTGGTCTGAAGTCCACTGGAATTCTTTCCCTTCAGGGTCAATTATAACGAATAGCTTTAAGGATAGATTTTTTTTTTAAGTTCTCAAGTCCTCTCCTACTATTGTGCTTTTATAGGGTGTTTATATGCATGCTCTGGGAATGGAGGGTGGTGCTCTAATTAAAGTCCCTGGACTGTCTCTTGTATCAGCATCCCCACACTGAAAAATGATGGCAGGGGCGCTTTAACTAAAGCTCATTCAATGAGCCACCATTTTTCCATGTGGGGACACTAATAAAAGTGACTCTGGAGTCTGCTGGAGCACAGCAACTACCACACTCCAGCAGACTTGCTTAATTACAGTGCATAGGAGCAGCCTTGCTGCACATGTATAGGCATCCATAACTTCTATTAGGTCTTTATCTGCATGGTGCTTGTGATGGGTGGAAAACAAGAATGCTGTTGTAGTCCCTACTGCAACCCTGAGCATATCACAGTGTCCCTTCATAAGTATGCCCAACCTGTAAAATGAGAATAATACTGCTTATCCACTTCTTCTGAAGTTCAAATAACAGCACATGCATTACTCAGCAACTATGGTAAAGGGAAATATCGTTTTTATACAAATAGATAGCTGCCAATGCTTATATTAATGCTGCAGCTAAGGCATTACCCTTTCCTTTACTCCAGCAGACAATATGAACAAGACTGTAGAAGACAACCAAACTTCTGTGCTCAAAGAGTTCATCCTCTTCGGATTTTCTGATCAGCCAGAGAGCCAAGTGGTTCTTTTCATGGTTTTCCTTGCCCTCTATGTGGTGCCCCTTGTTGGGAACTTCCTCATTGTGTTCTTGGTTGGCACAGACAGCCTCCTCTACACCCCCATGTATTACTTCTTTGCCAACCTGTCCCTTCTGAAGGTTTTCTACTCCTTCAGTGTCCAGCCCCAACTGCTGTTTCACCTCAGGGAAGAGGGAAGAGGGGAGTGAGCCGCTGTGGGCCCTCTTTGCTCAGCTGAGCTGAGGGGAGTTTGACTGTGCATTAATTAGCAGAGTCCTACTTGAGTTTCTTCTGGGTGGTTCCAGGCTACAAGGAGCATGTAGATATATTACCAAGAGGCAAAGCTCCCCCAAGGTCTGTGCAGAGCCCTAACTGAGACCAATACCCAGGTGATAGCAGCATTACCCAAGGCCTACAAGGTTTGCTCCAGGAAGTGGGGCGGCCAGATTTAGGTGCCCCAAAGGAGAGACCCAAAGCATGGTTTTGGACCTGGGACAGTGATGTCGATAGCTTGGCACAGTAGCGCCCCTTATTGTCATGCCACGTGGACCAACACTTTCTGTGTCTGTTGAATGTATATTGACAAGTGACACAGGAGAACTGAGGTTTCAAGAGAACTGGTGGTGAAGAAAGTAAGGCAGTGCCATATAAGATGGGGTGCACTAGCACCAGCAAACTGGAGAAGGCTGAGTATTGGGCATGTCTGAGTTTTATTGTTTTCTGAAAGCAAGTCAAGGATCTAAATGTTTGCCTGTCTAGTTCACCAGGCTTTCTTTGTATCTGTTCAAACACAAAAACACATTTGTGCTGTTAGGAATGTGGGGCCATAAGTTACAAAATTCCTTCTGTGCAAAAGAGGTAACAAGGACTGTATCTAGAAGTGTTTTTAAAACTGCGGTCTGGGCATCTATTCTGCCGAAGGAAGAGAGTTTTAAGCAGGTAGCGGATCATGTGAGGAAGCCTGCTTTCTGCCTCCAAGACTGATCAGTGCAATGTTCCCAATGATTCAATAATGTAAAATATACAAACCACAGTAGAAGCAAGGGCTCCAGGCCAAGCACCCCCCCCCGGAGCCATAGTATCCGTCTCTTTTGCTTTATTTCGGTCTCCCAAGCCCAAGATTCTTTCCCTTTTGACTGCTTCATGTCCTAGTCTCAGTTCAGTTTTGCCTGGCCTACGGTCTGGTTTCGGCATTTAGGTTGCTGTCCTTCAATGTCATAGTTCAAATCATCTTGGAAAAAGTGAGCCTGAGATTTGAATTCCTGAAGCCTCTCTTGTCCTGCTTATATGCTACAAGCAATAGACTGCTGAGTAAAATGTGCAAAGATTACTCGCTAGTGGCAAAGAGTTTTTAGTTATTGGTTTTGGCTGTCTCTAATACTGGGGATTATGCTGTCCTTCTGTGTGTCATGTACATCCAGGCCCTCAGATAGTACTGCATCTGCCCACCTGACTACCCTTACTTCTGCTTTTATACAACAAGGCCACTTCAATAGAGAAACAGATTGTGCATTTGAGAGACCTAGTCCCTTCATGGGACCTACATGAGTGAAACTAAACAGCAACTAGACACCAGAATAAATTCTTACAGAAGAAAATCTAAAGGACAGAGACATACACACACCATTAGGAGCACATGTCTCACAGAACAACCATTCCTTCTTTGACCCCATTATCCTCACGCCCAAGAGAATTTTCCCTAAAGCTTTTAAAAATGATGATTTGGGAAGAAAAAATCATAAGCTGGCTAGACACTAAGAACTAAGGACTAAACATTGATATTGGGTTGATGGCACATTATATTCTATCCAGCTCCTGAATTCTTAGCTGCGAATGACCCCTTTTTTTGATAGGCTTCAACTTCCAAGTAATCAGCTTTTTACCTTCTGCTTATTTGTGTCTAATACCTGTGAACATTCTTCTCAGCCCCTCCTCTGGGCGAAGTATGGGTATTTGGGGATGTTAGGGGGACATTAAATTAATTCAAAACAGCTGCTCAATATCAAGTAAGTCAGGATGGGGGTGACTAGCCAGGTGGTTGGAGGTCCAGCAGGCTGCAGGAAATCACGGGACTGCAAGGGGAGAAGGAACAGGCAACACCGGTGGGTGAGGTAGGGACAGGTGTGACCCATGGGTTGGTGAGGCAGCTGTGACCTATGAGGGTAGGGGGAGTAGCAGCTCACTGTCACTGGGCACATCATTTACTGTGGAGCAGGCTCATTCTCTAGTTAGCAAACATTTTGCATCTACACATGCGGCCCTATTAGGCTGCAGGAAATGAATTAACTTCAGAGCAGGGTAGTATTTGTAAACACAAGTACGACCCTGCTGCAGAGTTTTTTAGTGTGCTGCAGAGCACATATAGACACTGACTAAGCTGGCTGCCTTCCCTGCACTGGAGCCCTGCACGGGAGCACACTCGAGCCCCAGCCAGCCCCTCCGCAGCACAATGAACCGGGTCAGAGTAGCCCAAGGCTGGTAGACTGCCCCCTCAGCATCCCTGCCAGATGCGGCTACTCCGACCCAGCTCAATGTGCTACAATCTCAGGCACGTGTTCAAATGGTGCTCACAGGACCAATAAACTCCGGCACACTATGCACAGCAGTTTTGTGCTGCATGCCAATAGCATACGTACATACACCCACTGACTCATCCGTTTTAGTAAACTAAAATCTAAAACTGCAGGATGATGGCTGGACAGGCCATGGAGTATGTAATGTAAAGAAGTTTTCAGTCTCTGAAAATGGATGAGGGCCCACTAGCTCTGTCTAGTCCTGCATCTTCTCTGTGCACAAAAACTCCAACTACTGGAGCTGTCAGTTTATTACTTTCCTTAAGCATTAAGTTGGAGAAAGCAAACAGAAGAGAACCCAGGCTGCTTTGTTGTGCAACTTCCTTAGGGGACCTGGCAGCGGCTCCCTTTGGCCCCCAGTCCCCTCTGAATCTCAAGAAGTTTTAAAAAGACCTTTTCAGTCCCAACCCTATTAGATAGTATTTGCAACATAAAGAAAGGGAAGAGAGACATGTTAAATCTGATTAGTTAGAGACATGATGCGAAACATATTAGTGGGTTTTTGTGCCTGGTATTCAGATTTGATAAATTTATGGAAGGGATTTACATGATTACATTGCCTCTAATACAAGGAGCCAGTGTTCAGAAACCCAGGAGGTCTCTTCAAGTCCCCCACTCCTGTATGTATTGTTACTGGAATGGAAAGAGTTGATATACGTGGGTTTGGGTTAATGTTTTGTGGGTTGGATTAACTGATTATGTCTATGCCAATAGCATTCCCCCGTTAAGAGCAGGAATTAGCAGGTATTTCTGTGGAAACCTAAAATGTCATTACTTTATCATACAGCAAGGCTAGCTCAAATACAGTGTGTGGACTTAAATTAGGAGAAATTATTTGGTCTTTCAAGTATTCTTTTGTGTAAAACTATTAATCTAGAGTGTAAATCTCTTTGAGGCAGGGTCTGCCTCTTATAAATAGTGTGTGCTTTGTCTACTTTCAATGTCTAAGTCAATGTGGAACCAATATCAAATAGGTACAGCAGATGCTAGGTTCATGAAAAAAGAAAAGCATAAAATATTACTTTTATTTATTTTTCACGAATAAACTAGGAGGGAAGGCATCAGATGAATTCCCATATTCCTCTAAAACAGAGAATCACTTTTATTTGTTCCATTATTTTATTGGATTTAGTATGTTTCAGAGAGATGTTTCAGATGCAAAGCTGGGCTCTCACAGAAGACTTAAGACATCCCTGGTTTTTGACGAAGGATTTTATGCAGTGAAATTCAAGAATTTGACTCTAAAGGAAAGGGTTGGTAAGAAAATGCAAGTATATAAACAGTGCATCAGTTTGGGATTGAATTTTTAAATCAACACAGAGAAAGCAGTACTGGAACTGCCTTCCAACAGAGGCAAAAATTTCATGAGTATTAGGAAGGTGTGTGATAAGGAAACTTCATATAGGAAAGCGCGTGATAAGGAAGGTGCTTATTAAACGACTGGTATACCATATAGTTGCCCGGACTCAGTGGTACTAAGGGGTCTATTATGGTTCTTGCTTCTGTAATATGTATAAAATTAAGAATAGGGTGGAAGAGGGAAAGCAAAAGGAAGAGAAAAACTATTCTATAAATTGCTTCCGTAGTGTTGTGTATGCACAGAAACTGCAGCTACTCTTGCCTTTGTCCCATTCTCAGAAGCACCTGCAGAAGTAGAGCGTATATCAGGAGCTGCATGATGATGATGTCAATGCATGTTTTCTCTGGCTGACATATTGCTATCCTTCCAAAGAAACCTTGTATTTACTTTCAGTGTAATTTTAATGGGAATAAAGTAGGAATCTAAGCTTGGCATTCTATTTTTATGGTCACGTAAAGGGCATATTTACCACTCTCAAACACAAGGGGAATGTTATTCCTGAATGTATAGCCAGGTGCGCATGGACAAATATGTATGTGTTCAGAATAGGAGCTACAAATGAGGGACAGAACTCCCTTGTTTTGTGACTAGAACAATCACCCAAGGGACAGGTGGTGCTGCGTTATAGGCCTCTGTCATCTACATTTGAAGTTGTGATACCCTGACTTCCCAATATAGCACTCTAGCCACTACACCACAGGTCAGATATTAGGCATCCCTTTCTCTGGTGCTCCTTTGAAGCTGGATTACCTGGGGAGACACAAGAGGAAGGTGAGAGAAATAAAGCAGAGCCAGGGGAAGGAGCAAGACAGAGAGGGTATGACTCAGCGTGGTGGCTACTGGCCTGGACCCATGTTCCCAGCAAGGCACAAGTTTGACCCTTACTGCCCTCCATCCACTTTTTTAGTGACTGTTACTGGCTCAACTTCAAAAGGTTTGCTGGAGAAGGGTGTGGGTTATGTCTGACCTTCAGTGAGGTGCCTGGAGTGCTGTGCTGAGAAGTAAAAGTGGCCTGGTTCAAACCCCTGGAACATTTCAGCATCCTGTGTGAGTGGCCTAGCCTGACCTGTGGTGAGGGTACTGTATTGGGAATCAAGGAAAACCCTGGTGCCACCCCTCTCTAGTTGAGGGGGCACCTAAAACCTAAGACCTCCAGCATTTCAGATGAGTGCCCTAGCAATTGGGCAAAAGAAGGGCCCACTCAGCCCTTTTCTCTTCCTGAGGCTAATCCTAGTAGTCAGCAGTTCTGGCAACACATATGGGCTATGGTCACTACTCAATCAATGCTGCTTTGTAGTTGTCCACACACATAGAACTGCATATCCAGCAAAAAAACCCTGTTTCCAAAAAGGCCAAGTGGACAACCAAAATGTGACCGCTTTGATGACCATAAAATAAGAAAATGCTACCATAATGTGCATTTGTGCAAGGTAGCCAGCTTCATTTAATACATGCTAAATGTGTCCAAATAAGCAGTTAGTGCAGTATAGTTAGTATTTTGTAAATTCACATCCTAGATGGACCTTCCTCAGGCAGAGAAGCCTGTATGATCAGAACTGAGTATGAGATGCCATGTTGATTGGTTGATAAAACAAAACAAAACAAAACTATTAATTGATGAAGAAAGGACTTCCTTAAATTTCACCAAAAAGTGTTAGACAGAACGTATATCTTTCTGGTTTGGTTTCATGACCATGGCTGACTATTCCTGGTAAGTTAGTCATTCATAACAGTGTTCATTGATATTTTTTGTCTCTCTCTTGTTTGCAGATTTCTTAATCTCTTCGGGACACTGCTGCTTGGATGGGATGGGTATGACTAACCAGACTTGTGTGAAGGAGCTAGTGTTGCTGGGATTTTCAGATTTCCAAGAAATGCAGACCCTGCTCTTTGTTCTGGTGTCTATCTCTTATGTGGCAGCCCTCACAGGGAACATGCTAATAGTATTCCTTACTCTAAGGGACCCTGCCCTTCACACCCCCATGTATTTCTTTCTTGGGAATTTATCCTTTTTGGAGGTCTGCTATACATCTGTAATCCTCCCCAAGATGCTGGTGGATCTACTGTCTGGAACCCCAACAATCACTTTAACAGGCTGTGGGGGACAGATGTTTTTCTTCAATATCTTGGCTACTGCAGAATGTTTCCTCCTCTCTGTTATGGCGTACGATCGATATGTTGCCATATGCAAGCCCTTGCAATACACCCTTATTATGAGTCGTAGAATCTGTGCTCAGATGTCTGCCTTTTCATGGAGTTTTGGCATTTTACTGGCTATTTGGCAATTTTATACAATATTCACAAAGCCCTTTTGCGGGTCAAATAAAATCAGCCATTTCTTCTGTGACATTGTTCTTGTGATGCAGTTGCCTTCTGCAGATACCTACACGAATGAAGTTGTTGTTACCACCCTTGCTGTGCCTATTTCCTGCTTATCCTCTTGTCCTATGTCCTTATTATCTCCTCTATTCTCAAGATGCCCTCAGCTGAAGGCAGACACAAAGCCTTCTCTACCTGCTCCTCACACCTCATTGTGGTTTCTCTTTTCTATGGAACAGGAACAGTTGTTTATTTGCAACCTAGTTCAGCCCATACTCAGGGCAATGACCGGTTCTTTGCCCTGATGTATACAGTGATGACACCCGTGTGTAATCCCATTATTTACAGCCTACGGAACACGGAGATTAAAAGTGCCTTCAAAAAATCAATTGGCAGGAAACTGTTCCCTCATATAAGGTCTTTAAAAGGATTCTGATATTGAAACATTCTGAGCTTGGGATAAAATGGGAGTGGAAAATGTTGGATTCTTATTTTGTCTGATATAGAAAACGTATCGTTACTTGCAATGTCCTATAGTTTCTGTTCTCACTCAAGGGAAAATTGTGAATAACTCCATTCTCTTGACACTCACAGCAGTGTCAATGTATGAACCATTTAACTGGAATACTGTGACCAATCCTAGTGCCCATGCACTTACAGAACATGTAGGAAATCTGGAGTGATGTTGCTGATATGGTAGGGATATAAACGTTGAATTTCAGAAGTAAATTGGTGGTTTCAGATTTTGTTTCAAGTCATTATGAAGATCAAAAGAAAGGTTCTGTTTGGTTTGGCTTTCTTTTGGATGACTAGCCATAAAAAAGAGTACCATCCCAGAATTGCTGTTTAACTGGTGACAAAAGCACATCCCTATAAAATGTTAAATCCAGTTACAAGTACCTGCTTTGATCCAGAAAAAAACATGCATTAAATCCTCCATTCCTCATATCAGTATTCTTCCTAGTGAAGCTAAGAGCAAATTTCCTCACCTCCTTCCATCTGTCTGGCCAAAATGTCCTCCTGAATATTATGAAGTCTTCCAGAAAAATAGATATCAACCTCCAAAATGGTTGCTTTTCAATGGATCAGCATTTCTGATTTAAGAGGAAAAAACTAGCCAAGGACTAGCTATAAAACTAGCCAAACTCTAGCTATAAAACACACTAACAAGAGACTGAATCAGCCATTTCTGTTTTTCTTTTTTAAGTGAATGCTGAATAAAGACATGAGAGGAAAGACATGAGAGGACATTTTCACTTAGCAAGCAAATTCATAAGAAGTGATAGCCTCCTTGTTAACTGAGTTCAAAGTTATTAATCCACCTATTAGTTTGTAGAGGGGATACTCGTCAATAATGTGTGACATTGTTTTCACCTCTCCACAAGAGAACAATGTGTTAGAACTTAGGCCCCAATGGTGGAGGTCAGCTGTGCAGGGGCCTTTGCCTGTCCTGAACCTGTTTAGCAGAGACCACTCTTACCATGTTAATTCAAAGGCAGCAAGTTGATAAGTGGGGTTTGTCACAAGAAACTTATTTGTGACTTCCCATGTTTCCCATTCCTTGGTCCAAAGAATATCTTCAGACAGATTTTGATCCAGGAGGTTGCTTCATAAAGGGTTCCATGAGGAAAGGAGGGCTTTGGGTGGATTAAACATATCATTGTAAAATGGTAGGTGAGATCCAGAACAAACGGAAGCCAGGGGAGGGGAGTTGAATGGAGCGTTCCAGTTACGATACACATGGTTGTGTTCAGCTGGGTGTCAACAAGATGTGTTTGTGGTGACCTTTGCCAAACAGGTGCACAGCACTCTGCTACTGCATATGATAGGTAAGAGCTGAGGTCCAGAGCATTGTGGCTACAGATCCCCAGGTTGATCCAGCAAGCATGACTAGCATGTTATTTTGGGATTTGACCTTTGCTGCTGTTTTCTTGAAATGTTCCTGCAAGATCAGGGTTCTGTCTAAAGACACTTCCAAATATGTTATGCATGGATCATGCTTTAGTCTCTGGCTACCCACGTAGATGTTAAGATCTGTTTTGGTGTTGGCATTGTGGAGGTGCAATACACTGGATACAGGACACGGCATGAGCCATCATGTGGTGCAGTAGTCTGCCAGCTTTGTCGCATCTTCATTCAGGTTTTTGTCCAGTGTATGGAAAGATGGAGCTTTAATGGCACAGCTGATATCATCAGTCTAGATGAACTTGCAGGATGGGATTGTTGGTAGATCATTTGTGTATAAGTTGAACAGAGTTGGGGCAAGCACTAAGCCCTGTGGAAGTCCACTTGCCTGTCTCCTCCATGAGCTTGTCCAGTGCCCAAAGTGGACTCTGAATCATTTGTGACTAGAATTGTTTCAATGACTGTACAAACCCAGCTTGGAAGTACTTTTGACAGCTTTAGAAGCACGCCAGTGTGTCATATTGTATCGTGGGCAGCTATGAGGTCCAGTAGCACTACGCTTCAAAATGAATGTGATGTATTCTTTATCACAGAGACTCTTCAAGTTAAGGATGGATGGATGCCTTCCCGACAGATGAACTCTGGTTCCACAGCAATTTCTTGTAAGACACCTGAGAATCACTAGCTGGGGTTCTATTGCTGTTGGACACCACGGTGATTCAACACAAAGCCCACAACTCTCCTCTCCCTACCCTGCCTCCCCCCTCACCAGCATTAAAATATGAAACTGTAATGGAACTTCATTTTAAAAAAAGATTCCAGGTTCTTCCAATTGAAAGCCTTTTATTTCAAGTCTTTCATTTTATGTTAATAGATTCAAGGCAAAATAAAACTCATCTTCACAAAACAGATCAGAAAGGTGACCTTTTAACTTGACCATATGCTTGGTGAAGTATGCCTGTATTTTAAAGTATTATTCCTTTGTATTGCAAACCCTTTCATTAAAGAATGCCATGGTTTTTGTTATGCCTTTGCAGAATGTTAATATTACAAAAAATGCAGGAATCTATTTTGGCCACTTACATGTGGCTATAGGATCAGATTTTAACAGATGATAATCATTTGTTAACAAGAAATATGATGTTAACTAGTGGATAAAATGGGAATTCTTGATGAAGAAAGTATGTCATTAAATTCCCCAGCAAATACTACACACATCATATCTATTTTGATGAGTTTCATGACCATAGCTGACTATTCCGGTTAAGTTATTCACTGTTAAGTTATATGCTGTGCTTTTGCAGAATGTTAATACTATAAATGTGTATAGGAGTTCACTTCAGCCACGTATGAGCTTCAGTGATCTTATTGTGCCCAGGAGTTTTCCAACATCATAGTTCCAGGAAAAAAGTACAGAGGACTAAGAGGGACCCATCATTCTAGTCCAGTTTTATGCAGTTATGGCATGTTCCTAGTTACCCACATAAAGGCTACATAGCTGTGCTACGGGGTGTTGGATTGGAGCCATTATGAATAAGAAAATCACTCATTACAGCAGTCTGAGATGTGAAAGGGGCTGGAACCAACACTACTAATGCGATTTTTGTTTGTTTCCAAAACTGCAGCCTTATAGAGCAGTAAGCATTTCTGATAGGCTTCTTAAACAAAATGATGTGGCTAGAAAGGAGTATGAGTGAATGTTCAGGTAGCAGCGCCCTTTGTACAGATATTGATCATTAAACCAATCATTACCAAGTCGTAAATATATTTTTTTTACTTTACCTCTTTTTATAATTCCAGAATCTAAGGGTGGCACTTAATACCAAACAAGAATTTATTCTCAATATTACTGCTAATATGTTTATAGCCTGATAAGAGTGCGCCCACGACTACGTCAGGTGCTCAAAATGTGTTGGAGCTAGAGTAGTCTGTCCATATTACAATGCTTTGCTATTATAGCATCTTCTTAGCTTGCCCCTGCTGAGCAGCTGTCCCACAGATACTTGTGGCCATTTCTTCAGGCACCTGCCTGAGGAAATGGTCAGAAGTATGATAAAAAAATATGTATTGCAGTTTTAAATCTGACGTGCTTATTGGTCCAAGCTCTGTTTTTATATAGTAGCTGACAGAACACCGGAGACATCCTCCTTATTTATAGCACTGCTTGATGAAGAATCTATATGAATTCCACCTTCACACATTTTATTCTGGCCCTGACATGTGTACACCATCAGGTGCTGAGGCTGCCCAGTCTTTCATGGTAGCAAGTAGCATTGTGTCTTACCTATGGCATCTGCACTTTTAGCCAGCTGTGCTAGGTATTTTCCATGGCCATGAAAGTTACAACACACGGTTATTTGATGCATGAAAGCAAAGAAAAAAATCCTGGAATAGCTGTCTTTCTCCCCAGATATGCACTGGAGGCTGGAGAGGAGGAGGACATCTTGTCCGCAGTGATAGATGATTAGTTTGGGAATTACATGCACACCATAACTAACCAGATCAGAAACATGGAGTTCATCTCAGGGTAGCAGAAATGAAGAGTGCTGTTCTCAAGGGATGATCAGCCATGGTGTGCAAACTTCAGGGTGAACAGGGGATGTGTTTGGAGTCCCAAACTGTGGGGAAAGCAGTGGTGATAGCCATCTGGAAATGTGTAAACCTCAATTGTCTCCAGACCATTGGCAACCTCTTGTATGGGAGGAAGTCAGATGCCAGGAATGGTGTCAGGATGGTCTGTCTGACCATCAAAAACTGGTAGGTGCTTGCCTCTCAAGACCTTTTTGTAATCCCTAAGGATCAAACTCATCTGGCCCTTCTTACTAAGTCAATTTCAATATTTAGCTATTTTACAAGTGTGTATATATATAAAGGTGTTTTCTTATATATAAAAACATGTGTTCTCTCTCCACCCCCTCCATCTCTCCCCACTGAGGCTAAGCTAAGCCCTATTTCCTGAAATTTTTGGCAATTTATGTTCTGCCCCATCTCCATTGAGATATGTGTGATATGTTTCTGGAATGAGAGAGTGTAAGTAGTCACTTTTAAAGTACTCACTGCAATTTTCTAGTAGATCAACCAATAAAGATCATGTGCATAAAGATGTTCAATACTTGTTACTATTCAAAATACCAAGGATAGAGTTCTGTCATGCTTCTAATGTTCCAAATCACATTTTAGTCTCACCTATGAAACACCCTGAAACCTGTATGGGTGACTAAATATATTAAATGTCATAGAGGTGCCTCCCTCTTAATCTGAATAATTATGTGCAGCCTAAATTTACCATCCTGAGCATGCTCAGAAGTGAGACAAGGAACAACTTAGACGCCAGAATCTACTTCACTCCTTTCAGATCTCATTACTCTAGGAAACATGCATATGTTTTAGGTAAGCTCTGAAATGTCTTAATGTGAAAGGAGACTGCATAGTGATGGCTGGATATCAGAATCAGAGCATACAGCAGATATATAGTCCACATCATGCACAGGGGCCTCATAGTTAAATTCCTTGTCCTAGAAAAGAAAGAGCTAAATGCAAAGATTATCTCTCATTGAAATAATTTGAACAGGACAGTGTTTACTCAGTGAGCCCTAGGGAAGGGAGTGAGAAGGGCCCTTTTTACCCTTACTAGTGAAACTGGCTGACAAGGCAGCCCAGAGTGAGCCAGGGGTCTAGAAGGCCATCAAACAAAGGGAAGCTTGTTTCTATGGCATTGCTCCTGGTCCTGAGAGAAAGTCAGTCCTAAGTTCTTATCCCGATGCGGTGACCAAAAATAAAAAGGTGGGGGGTGAAATTCAACCAGAACCTCAGGAGGAGGTTCTACAGGTAGAGGAGTTGCAGCCTGGTACACTCAAGGGTCATGTGCACCAGGGTCTCCGTGTGCTCGCAGAAGGGGCAGGAGATCAGGATGCCCGTGAAGCTTGCCACATACATGCCCGTGGTGACAGCTCCATGGAGGAGCCACCAGCTGAGGTCACCAGTGGATCATGGCATGAGGGCTTCAGAAGCTCCTGACAGTACATAGCCCTGAGCTTTTATATCATTAGGGCCAGCACAGGGCAAGTTTTTATACTGCTTGGGCCAGCACAGGTGCTGGGCCCAAGATCTAGCTCCTCCTGCCTGCAGATCTGAGAGGAGCTGGGCAGAGCATTTTGCCCCAAGAGGCAAAACTTGTCCCAGCACATGCACTGTTGCAAAAATCCAAAGCAAAAATTTGTGCCACTCCTATTTGAACTACTGCAAGTGCCTGTGTGTGTGGACGTGCCCCTGGGGGCTATTACTTTTCTCTCTGTCCATCCTGGGACCTTCTCTCCCAGTCTGCACTGGACTATTTTTGTGACACTCACCACATCTCTCATAGCCTCTCTTTTTGTCTTCAGGTTCCTTCAGCCACACTAGCAACGAAAAGGTTGCAGGCTAAAATCCAACACTCCCAGCTTCTCCTTTGGCACAAGAATAAATTACCTTTGAGAAGAATATCCCACCACATAGCTACTTCCATAATTTCTCACAAATTTGTTTCTCTCCTCTGTTACTGGCTTTCCTCTAGGCCTATTAATGTCACTTTAGTCCAATGTTTAAGGATATTAGCTGTCTAATTACATACATGCTTATACATATATGCAAATTTATTTTATATTATAGCATGATAAATAGGCATCGCAGTATATTACTTGGCTGATTTCAGAGGAGGTCTTTCATAGACAATCTTTCACTTTCTGGGGTAGATCCTTGACTACCTGGTGGTTGAAATAACCCAATATATGACTGAAGTATGCAATATTTATAGACAATGTGTTGATAATATATTTCACATAGGTTATTATAGGCTACAGTTAATTCATCAAACAATATATAAAATAGCTTTGTTTTACACAGTTCAAAGAGATATTTTTCTGCTTAACAGTCTTTTCAATGCTTGCTTTACTTCCTTATTCCTCAGACTGTAGATCAAAGGGTTCAGCACTGGAGACACAAGTGTATAGAATAGGGAAAGCAGTTTGTCATAGCTGAGTGAGTAGAAGGATTTGGGCCTTAGGTAAGTCACAATGCCAGATCCATAAAACAGAGTGACTACGATGAGGTGGGAAGAGCAAGTGGAGAAAGTTTTTCTCCTACTCTCAGCTGATGGTATCTTGAGGATGGTTAGCAGAATACAGGCATAGGACACAAGGATGAGCATGAAGGGCACCATAATGAAGATGATAGTGATGGCATAGTTGATGATTTCATTCCTGTAAGTGTTCACACAGACAAGCTTCAGCAGTGGAGGCACATCACAGAAGAAGTGGTTTATTCTATTCGGGCCACAGAAGGGCAATGTGAATATTGAAGTTGTCTGCCCTACACCAACCAGCACACCCATGAGCCAGGACACAGCTAAAAGCTGGAAGCAAACTCTCTGACTCATTATGGTCATGTAGTGCAGAGGGTGACAGATGGCCACATAGCGGTCATATGCCATGGCAGCAAGCACAAAACACTCTGTGATCCCTAAAAGGGCAAAGAAACTCATCTGCATGGCACAGCCCAGAAAGGAGATCCTGTTCTCTTTGGAAAAGAAACTCAATAGCATATTGGGGATTGTCGAAGAGGTGTAACTGATTTCCACACAGGACAGATTTCTGAGGAAGAAATACATGGGGGAGTGAAGGACAGGGTCTACCAGGGTGATCACAATGATCAGGATGTTTCCCCCTAAGTCAATGATGAACATAAGCAGGACTAGGAAGAAAAGGGTGGCTTGGACTTCGAAGATGTTTGAGAGAGGCTCAAAGAAGAAGTGTGTCACAACTGAGCGGTTCTCACCAGCCATTTCCCATTCTTGCTTTCCATCTGTAGAGACAATAAAATCATCGTGAACTAATAAAGTAGATGAACTGCCACAGGCGAACTAGGACTTTGAAAAGCAGGGTGCAGGGGGTGTGGTGCATTGTGACATAACACAAAACATACTTTTTTTTCTGAGATTAAAAGGAAACAAAAAGATTTATTACCATGCTGGAGGCCAAGGGCTATAGCTGTTACTTCCAGCCTGGCGATAGACAGTGTTGCTCCCTGCACCCCAGCAGAAATCACCTAAACACTCCATCATGGCCCCAGACTGCTCTTCAATGCTCTTTATGCATTGTCCCTGCCTCCACTGTTATTCCACATATCTGCACAATCAGCACCACCTCATCGTGCCCCTAACCCATAAAAACCCACCATCTCATGCTGCACTGAGTACTACCCTGCCCCTTCACTGCCCTCACAGACCCACTGTACCCTGCACAGATTGATCCCCATCATGCCTCACCCCTTTGGACTCTCACGATCTCCCTCACACCCTCCCCTGCCCCTCTGAAGGTTTGAACTTCACTGTGGCCCCTCACACCCGCTGTGACTCACGCAATCCCACTTCCTCTCAAGACCCCATTTTACCCCATCCCTCTCCAACCCAAATCCCCATCTACCCCTCACTTCTCACCCCATAATAAAACAACCATTCCTCACCTCTCTACTCCACAGCCCTCCCTCCCTGCAAATACACCCTGGTGACTGTTCTAGCCCCTCATGTTCCCTGGGAACACATTTCTTTACTCAGGGAGGTTGACCCTTTTCATCCACCTATGTCTGACTATATGTCTTGTTGCACCACCAAATCCCCATCTACCCCTCACTTCTCACCCCATAATAAAACAACCATTCCTCACCTCTCTACTCCACAGCCCTCCCTCCCTGCAAATACACCCTGGTGACTGTTCTAGCCCCTCATGTTCCCTGGGAACACATTTCTTTACTCAGGGAGGTTGACCCTTTTCATCCACCTATGTCTGACTATATGTCTTGTTGCACCACTGGTTCAACCTCTTGCAGCATCCATCCTCTCCTGCAAGGAAGAACTCAGGAAAAGGTCACTGCAGCAACTTAACTGTTTGCTTCAACTTTGCAATCCCTCCTGCCACTGCACAGCTCAGCCTGCCTTCAGTCCTGCCTCTACCTTTCCTGTCTCTGACTTGCTGTGGTTTTGAATCACTTAGGAACAAGGTCTCCTACTACAGGTTCTTAGATATCAGGACACCTTTACTGGACACACTGGGAGTGAGTAGCGAAACATTACCAAGAGTAGGTAATAGACTGAATAGTTGTAGGAGAAAGAATAGTTTGATTAGAGGAAGATTAAGAAAGAGCCCACACAAAATGGATAATAAAGAGACATGAAGTCAATTGACACCTTCAGTTCCATCTGAATAGAAAGGCTGTTGTCCCTGTTGAGTAGTTTGTTTTAAACATCCGTTGGAGCAGGACTGCACCAGTAACCGCCCCCCACCTCTGGATCAAACATCACACCCTTTGGGGTCTACTCTTCCCACTTAGTTCAAAAGGATAATTCTAACATGCATTAACAAGGATCACACAGGCCCATTTAATCACAACAGCAGTATCTACAAAAACCTTTATTCAAAGGAAGATGAAATCCCAGCCAAGATTTCCAGAAGGATATTCTATTCAATTAATCATTTCAGCTAATGATAAATATATATATATATATATATATATATATATTCCCTTTGCCATTTTAATATTTTTCTTCTACCCTACTATGCTTTACACCAGTGGAACGCAGATGTTATTAAAGAAATTGCTCCTAATTTTGCTGTCTCACAGTGAAAGTAGGATCAGACTTTTTCTTCATCCACACATTCTTATGCTTTAACTATCTACTACCTACTCTCTGTCTCTCTCTAATAGTACACACCAGATATCACATTAATAAAACATCTTGAGGGATTTGGCTCAGAAAATTTAAGTGCAGTTTAAAGTATAAGTAGATTTGAAAATCCCAGCTCTTAATAATAATCCCTGTATAATTCCTTAGAACAGTGTTATGCTAAGAAAAGAGTATCACTCATTAGGAAATAATTCTGTTACACTCTTTTCAAGTGTGTGCATTTTTTTTTTTATGAATAATAAATTAATCAAAGTTATTTGACCTCAGAATCAGGCAATCATTTCACTGATGGATGTGTTCCTACACTGCTCTGCACTCACAATGTCAATGTATTATTGACAGAAGAAGGTGAATGGCAATATAAATAAAATGAAAGGAAAATCAACGCTACATTTTTAAATATATGAATGAATATCTGATTATACTAAAACATACCTGTTGCTGGAAGATTACATTCAGTAATTCTGAAGAAGCCAATATTCAATGCACAAACATTTTAGTTCTTGTGTGTGTCCTGTGGGACCAGCTCTCTCATGAATCCTTGTAAGTGCATGACACAATAATATTTTAAATTTTCTCTCTTATTCCCTAACCTCTAAACAAGGGCATATGGAAAATTGTCCACTGAAGTGGGAAATTGGGTTTTCAATTGTATCATTTTTTAAATGTTCTGTTTTGGAAATTGGAATGACATTTAGCTCTAAAATACTGCAGTTTCTAGTAATTTTCAGGTTTTTACTTGTTCAATGTTCAAAATTCTCCATTGTTTATTCATACTCATATATTTAAAAATCTTCATATGTTCATGATAGAAATATTATTTTAATTATAATTATTAATATTATTTTAATTATTTTTCTTCAATTCCCTGCCCCACACCCTCAACACACTTGCATGGAAACAAAGAAACAAAAAAAAAATTGCAGAACAATATTTGAGCAATTCCTTTCATCTGAAAATATTTACATAAATTCTGCTCTCAGACTGGTGTAATTAGTGAAGAAATCTGCTGAGGTCAGTGTACCACAGCAGGCCTCAGGAACCCTTTTGTTATTAAGGTTTTGAGCACAGATATTATAGTATTTCTACAGAATAGTGTGACAGCTGAAATTATGTCTGTGTGATAAAGGTGCTTGCTGAAGACTCTATGAAGATTAGACCAAGTGTTTTTTCTGTATTTGTTTAGATATTAAGCTTTATGCTGTTGCTAAGAGCCTAATTAAAGTTTAAGATGTATTAAGGCCTTGTATTAAGTAAAGCCTAGTAAATTTAGCAAGGCATTGAAGTAGTAAGGCCCTGTGGCATAGTTAAAATTAACCTTATTAAAAGGAATGCAAGGCTTGTACTACTATTGGTCAGTCTAAAGACAGCTGAAGTAAAAAGAATCTGAGTGGCTGTAAGTTATCAGTACCATTCAGAAGCTATAATTTGGCTGAAACATCCAGAAATCATTCAGAAGGAAGATACAGCTCTGTGAAAAGGATTAGCTAGCTCTTGACCTGCATCACTGGGCCCGTGGGTCTCAAGGAGCCCAAGGACTGAATACAGGGTCATTCCAGATACCTCGCAGACAGCACTGATCAGGGAAGCCTGACTTCACCGAGCTGTGTGGAAAGAGAAACCTGTTGTACATCAGAAATCAGAGGGGATTGCCAATAAGTTGCCAACACAAATTATTCTTGTCTGTCAGTCATTGTTTGTCTTGTTACTATGTGTAGATGTGTTTTTGTTAAGTCAATAAACCTTTCTTACCTTTCTACCCCTGACCATACTCTCAATCCCAAATCCTCTGCAGGCAGCTGAGACAAATAGGCCAAAATAAATTTTATCATTCCCAACTTACAATGAGGTTGTTTATGGTGAGGCCTTCAAATAGTTTTGATGTACCACTGCTCCCACTGGCTTCAACGAATGTAGTTTCTTAGGGCAAAATGGGTATGTCTGCACAAGACTTTTGAACACATTAGACTAAATATATGAATTAGTGTGGTGGGCAGAGTCTGTGCTAATGCTCTAATGCACAGTAGATTTAGTCTAACACATGTTAACATCACTAAAAAGTATACATCTGTGCTAAAGTGCAGTAGCACCAATTACTGAATTACTGTGCATTAAATGTAATGTGTTCTAACTATGGTGCATTAATAAATGTGTAGACGCACCCAGTATAGGAGTATAATTAAAGGAACTTAAAGACCCAATAGGGACTTAAGCAGAACTGAAGCAACAGCATTCCAGATAGAGATTTTCAGAAATCTGACAAATTTCACCAGCAAATCCCTAAAACTTTGTAACTTCATGTGTCCAGAGGTTCTGTCACTTTGCCTGAATTGAGCATTTTAATGCTTCTCTAATCCCTAAAGACAGTTAAGTTTTACAGACTAGCTGTTCCTGATCATAAGTCCTCTTTTGGGCCTGATCAAATAGGCATGCTCAGAGCACACTTACCAACCAGTTACAGAATAATATATTAATTTTGGCACTTACAACTACTATCATTCAAAAATAACAATGAGAGTAGTGCTAGACTTTTGTTTTATTGCCAAGTAGCTAAAGCACTCATCCAATCAATGGGATTCATGGGTCCAATAGGAAACTGGTCATATAAAATGAGGCTCCTACAAAAGTTGATCGAATTATAAATCAGAAGCATGCAAAACAGCTAGTATTCACTTGGGATTCAGATTCAGCCAGTTCAGGGGACAGTGATTCAATTTGGCGATTTGAATCACTGTTCCGATTCGATTCTGCTGAATCTGGTTTGGAGATATGGCAGCGGACGAATCTCTAAAATCAGCCAAACCAGGCCCATCCCCCGCCCACTCTCCCAGCCCAGCAATAGCTGCCCTGTCCAGCCCAGCTAGGCAAATATTCTGAAGAGTCATTTGAGTAAGACTGAAACTTCCTCTGTAGACGGCAGTGAAATTCATGTTCCGTGAACAATCCAAGTCTGTCTATTTAGGATTCCAAAAAAAGTTGTTTGCTGCTCACTGGGTGGGGATCGAAGTCATTCCCTTTCATTTCACATCAAGAGCCATTTCTCCTTTTTGTTGTAACAATTACAAACAAGTGGTCATCTCAAGTTTCCTGACAGGCATTCTTTTTCTGTATCACGTTAACTCAGTCCTTCAGAGCAAAGGCAAATATAGAATGTTATCTTCTTGTTGCAAAACTTTTTACCAGTTGCCCTAATGGGCAATCTGTATGAAATGCTTGCCTCACCAGTGCTACATCACATACTCCGAGTCTAGCTAGAAGTATGAAGACTCTGTCACACATACAAGTTGTGTCACTAACTGCTTCCATCACATTTTTTTTGCATTATACTCACACAGACACACATGTATACTGGTAGATCCAGAATGTTGTTGCTGGGCCTTCAGCATCAGAACTGCCCTGTTTATATGGGCAGCTCTGTATCTAAAATGGCTACCCTAATCAAGCACCTGTCAGCTGCTGCCCTCTGACCCTTAAAGTGCCAGGCACAAACAGTGCCCTGTCACACATGGGTATGCTGCTCCCAGGGACCAGGCTACTTTAAAGACACCCTGGATCTTCCTGCACTGAGACTGAAGTGTAGCCCTTCCCTTTTTCAATGATTCTCTTATCTTTTCTGATCAGAAATCATCATCCTTGGAGCGAGCTCAGAACCACTCACATGACAACTTTCCAAAGTCCCTGAATTTGGCAAAATATCTTTTAAACAGAAATGTTCTGGCCTCTTCTGATTTTTATGTAACCTTGGGCATGACACTACATGCACCCTCACCTAAACAGTGGGTTCCTGGGGTAGCCAGTAGCCAGTAGCCCTGCCCAGCCCCCCTGGGAAGCTGCTGCAGGGGCCCTGAGCAGGGAGCGTCCCCTTACAATCAAACACACTTGCAGACAGTTCTAAAACTATTTACAAGATTTAATTATTTACAAATTAACAAGTAACCAATAAATAAACACATGGATATACCAACTAATAAACCCTCCAGAACTTATTTATACAGTCTCTCACTTGCACACAGTGTACTGGGGATCCTGTGTGCCCTGCCTCTGGCAGGGTGTCTCAGGGAGCAGAACTGTCTGGGTCCCTGCTCAGGGTATGTGGGCGCTCCCTGGTGATGGTGTGTCTCTCTGTGCTCCCGAGGTTTCTGGGTAGCAGGTAGTGGCTCCTCTTCTGCAGTCCCTGTAAGACAGCCTCCCCCTGCCTCTGACCCCATTTCCCTAGCTCAGCAGGGACCAGAGTCTGGGCTGCAGGCTGTAGCAGTTCTCCTAACCCATACAGCCTCACAGCCCCAGCACAGCCCCGGCTCATAGTGTGGGGTGTAAGCAGGAGGAACTGTGCCTCCTGTTTGCAAGTAACAACCCAGACTTAGTAGGGCTCACAGAAACCTGGTGGGATCCTACCTACGACCGGGCGGTGGGCATTCAGGGGTACACCCTATATAGAAGCGCCAGGACAGAGAGGAAAGGTCAGGGAGGGGGTGTTGCGCTCTATGTCAAAGAGCACCTCACATCATCAAGGATTAGCTTTGGGTTAGAGGAGGGTTGGGCAGAGACACTATGGGTCAAACTACAAGTGGGGCATGGCAAAAGGGACCTTATGGTGGGTGTCTACTACAGACCACCCAACCAGGGGGAAGAGCTAGACCAGGACTTCACCAGTCAGCTTATGGAGGTGGTTAGGTCAAAGGATGTTATGTCATGGGTGACCTAAACTACCCAGACATTTGCTGGGAGGAGCAGACAGCCAGGTCTTGCCGCTCGCATAGGTTCCTGGCTGTATTACAGGACCTTCACCTTATCCAGGAAGTGCATAGCCCCACTAGGGGTAATGCCTTGCTGGACCTGGTCCTGGCCACAGGGGATGATCTAGTGACGGGACTGCAGGTCCTTGACCACCTGGGCAGTAGCGATCATCACCTGATGGATTTCATTATCCAACACAGGGTGTCCAGGGCTCACACCAAGGCTAAAGCCCTTGACTTCAGAAGGGCCAACTTCAATGAGCTTAGGAGACGAGTGGGGGAGGCACTAAGGGCCCAGATGGCAGAGGAGACTGGTGTCCACGAGGGATGGTCGTACCTTAAGGGGGCGATCCTCCAGGCCCAAAGGATAACAGTCCCTGAGAGAAGCAAGTGGGGTAAGAGTGCTCAGAAACTCCCTTGGCTCAGCAAGGGCATACAGGGATGTCTGACGACTAAAAGCGGTGCATACCACCAGTGGAAGGGAGGAGCTATCACCAAGGAATAGTACTCCTCCTCGGCCTGGGTATGTAGGAGGGCTATTAGGAAGGCCAAGGCAGAGATGTAACTCAGGCTAGCATCCAGGATTAAGGACAACAAAAAGTCCTTTTTCAAGTACATTGGGAGCAAGAAGAGGGCATGAGGCAATGTATGGCCCCTGCAAGACACAAACAGTAATCTGGTGGCCATGCCAGACAAGAAACCTGATATTTTTAACAGTTTCTTTGCCTCTGTTTTCCTGAACAGGGACCAGGATATCCCACCTACCACAGGTAGGGACAATCTTGGGGATAGCTTTATCAAGCCTTCAGTCAATACAGATGTAGTTAGGGATCTTCTGGAAGGGCTAGACATTTTTAAATCTGCAGGTCCAGATGCCCTCCACCCAATGGTGTTGAGGGAGCTGGCAGGGGTCATCGCAGAGCCCTTGGCCCAGCTGTATGAGCATTCGTGGTCATCTGGCCAGGTGCTGGGGGAT